CATCGAGATACATCGAATGGCTTTTAAATTTTTAAAATCGGTCCAGTCATTTTTGAAAAAACGTCGATTTACGGCAAAAAATCCTTTCACATACACACACACACATATACACACACACACACATACTTTTTCCAAATTTGGTCTCATTCGATTCAGAATGGCTTGAAACGTCGAGAAAACATAAAATTAGCGAATCGGATTTTTTTATGAAAACATAAACTTCTTCTTCGGGAAGTTAATAAAACTATAAAGGAACTTAAACAATATTTGTTTGATTTAAAAAATAAACATATGGAGTCCTACTTAAGTGATTTATCTGTTCATGACCATTCCATCTGGAAAGCCACAAAATATATGAAAAGACCAACCCCAACGGTATCTCCAATTAGAAATGATGATGGTACTTAGTCTAGATCAGCATAAGACAAGGTTATTACCTTTGCAAATCACCTTCTTATCCTTGTAATGTACCTAACGATCAATTCATCACAGATTATTTGAATGACGGTAAGCCCATTCCAAAAATGAAGTATTCTGAAGTTTTCTAAGAGATTAGTAATACTAAATTGGGAAAAACTCCTTGTAATGATGCCATCACATTTGGACTAATAAAACACCTTCCTGATAAAGGTAAAAGATTTTTAACTATATTATTTAATGCCATGATACGGTTGAAGTATTTTCCTTCATCGTGAAAATTGGAAAAAACAATCTTGGATTTAGATACTTCATCTAAGTTGTTTTCCGTGGAAAGGAAACTATCTGAGATGCTCCATCGACAAGTTAACCTTTTGGTTAACGCGCTAGCCAAGTGCGCCATGTAGGCCCATGTTGTAATGTAAGGGCTATATATTTGTTCAATACTTTAGTCATGTGGGATCTTCAGCACAGTCGAATTTTATTCATAACTTTCTGGTTGCTCCATGTCAAACATAAATATATGACTCAAAAATAAAATAATATTTTTTGATATCAACTTAATAAGTTACAACTATAAGATATTACACCATAATTGAATGCGATATGATAGGCGTCTGTGGTGTAATGGTCAGCATAGTTGCATTCCAGGCAGTTGATCCAGGATCGATTCCCGGCCGACAAAATCACGTTTATTACGCTCTTGTTACACCTTATCAATATAAAATGTAAGGTTCTTTATGGGTAGAAACAAAACTACACCAACTCAAAATTATTCAACTGCTGAGTTGTTACCACAGAATTGAGGCAAAAATGTTAAGCGTAGGTAGTGTAAGGGTCAGCATAGTTGCTTACCAAGCAGTTGATCCATGTTATTAATATTAGTAGGTATAAACAATAATTATTTCACGCCCACGGGTGGTATCGAACCATCAACCTTTCGGTTAACAGCTGAACGCGGTAGCCAAGTGCGCCATGTACGCCCTTGTCGTAATGCAAGGGCCATATATTAGGTCAATACTTTGGTCATGTGAGATCTTCAGCACAGTTGAATTTTATTTATAACTTTTGGGGTGCTTCATGTCAAAAATAACTAGCTGTAAGTGGAATTCTGTCTTAAGGCAATTAGGGCATCGTGCCTTAAGGCAAATTGCTGGAACTTCCCGTACCAAAAATTATTATTTTTTGTAAAAACGATTAACATTTTTGAAAAAAATTTACTTCGAAAAAATAAGATTTTTGAGAAACTATAAATTGGACAAAAAATTACTTTTTTTTGAAAAAAATTTTTTTTAAAAAATTTTTTTTTAGAAAAAATTTTTTTAAAAAAATTTTTTTTTGAAAAAAAAAATGTTTTCTTTATTTTGACATATTTTGGAAAATCTGAACTTGTTTTTCAAAGCAATCGTACTGCTTTAACTGCATAGATACAAAATATAAAGCGCGTAAGCGCGGCGTCGCTGTCTAGCGGGTAAACATTGATACGGAACCCATAGAAAAATAAACAAAATTTATACTTATTGTTAAAATCTCTATAAAATATCTGAAAATTCGATGTGCATATGTCTAATGATCATTTTTGACCGCCAAATGGCATTTTTTTTTACTTTTTTCCTTAGATCTCCGAAACCGCTAGACCTGCCTTTATGAAAATTTGATCAATTCTTTATCTTGTCAATACAAGTAAAATGTTTTTTGAATTATTAAAATCGGACGCTCCGTTCTCTTAGAAACTGAGTTACCGTTTTCGGCACTTTTTGCCCCGTATCTCCGGAACGGCTAGACCTGCCTTCGCCAAAAACTAATCAGCACGTCTCCTTATCAATACGAATCGAATGTTTTTTGAATTATTCAAATCGGTTGATCCGTGTTCCCGAAATCGTCGACGAAAATTTGTATCCGCACATACATACACACACGTACATACATACACACACACATACACACACACACATACACACACATACACACACATACACACACACACACACACACACACATACATCCATTTTTTCTAAGGTATGCCAAAATGTTCAGAAACCTCTGAAACGTAAAGATATATAAAAATTTTTATTTTCGATTTTTTTGCGATTAATATAACTTACCCTACGGGAAGTTAATTACCCTACGGGAAGTTAAATATGTGATTCAAAAATAAAATAACATTTTTTTATATCAACTTAATAAGTAACAACTATTATTTATTACACCGTAATTGAATGTAATATGTTAGGTGTCGGTGGTGTAATGGTCAGCATAGTTGCCTTCCAAGCAGTTGATCAGGGTTCGATTCCCGGCTGACGCAATCACGTTCATTACTTTCTTGTTGCACCTTGTCAATATTAAATGCAAGGTTCAATATGGTAGAAATAAAATTGTACCAACTCATGATTATTCAGTTGCTGAGTTGTTACTACAGAATTGAGCCAAAAATGTTAAGCGTAGTTGATGTAATGGTCAGCTTAATTGCCTATCAAGCAGTTGATCTGTGTTATTAATATTTGTAGGTATAAACAGCAATCATTTTACGCCCCCGAACCACCAACCTTTCATTTAGCAGCCGAACGCGCTATGGTATGAATAAGGTAATAACGGGTATGAACAACCTTGCATTACAACAACTTCGCCATGTAGGCCCTTGTTGTAATGCAAGGGCCATATATTTGGTCAATACTTTGGTCATGTGGGATCTTCAGCACGGTTAAAAGTTTTTCATAACTTTCTGGTTTCTCCATGTCAAAAATAAATATGTCATTCAAAAATATAATAACATTTTTAATTATATGAACTTAATAAGTTACAACTATGAAATATTACATCATAATTGAATGCAATATGCCAGGTGTCGGTGGTGTAATGGTCAGCATAGTTTTCTACCAAGTAGTTGATCCGGGTTATTAATATTAGAAGGTATAAAAATAATTATTTTACGCCTCCGGGTGGGCTCAACCTACCAACAGGTTTTGGTTAACAGCCGAACGCGCTAGCCAATTGCGCCATATAGGCCCTTATCGTGTTGCTAATAATAGCAAGGGTAGACTACATGTATGTTGAACAATATAATCATCAAATACTATTCGGTATAAACAATATTCTTTGAATATTCCAGGGTATAAATTACAACTATTTTACGCCCTCGGGTGGGTTCGAACCACTAACCTTTCGGTTAACAGCCGAACGCGCTAACCAATTTCGTTTCGCCTCAGAGGCTACTCTCCTAGCGTTGATAATTGTAGAAGTAAGCGACATATAGCATCAACATTATTATAATAATTGAACAATAATGGGTATAAACAATACTTATTTTACGCCCCCGTGTGGGCTCTAACCACCAACCTTTCGGTTTAAATATTAATAATTTAAAAATATCAAAACGCAATATTATAGTTGGTTTTGGATGCCGATAACATAATATATGATGTTCAAAAAGATACCTATCAGATTGCATCACACCCCATGACCAAAATTCACAAAGAATTTTGACGAACGGTCATCGATGATGATCCAACTCCAAATGAAGTTCAACATCTTTCTCACGCTTAGGGTCCGAAGCTACGACTCATCTTCGAGGTCGCATCAACTCCACATTTAAGTGGAGACATACTACAGACTTGATCCTGTAAGGTATGATCTTGCCAAGAGGATGATGCTTCATATAACATAAACATTAAATCTCATCATTGAACAATAATGGGTATAAACAATACTTATTTCACACCGAGCCAAGCGATACCTGAACTCTTTTTTGAGGTAACTCATCTAATGGGATATGTCGGTTTAAGGGAGGCAAGTCCATCTAGCGATCAAATAATCATACTCACAAAGAGTACCCATACGCAGTAAATAGTGTGTGGAGTTTTAGTAGTTCACCATGTCTAAGTGTCTTTTGATATGTAGTGTATCACATATTTTATTAGTATAAAAAATTACAAATTTTTTTAAGTATTTTGGCTGATCAATTTGCTTTTGATCGAAATGCGTTTTTATTTTTACCACATCGTATTAAAATTACTCTGATTTTTCGATTAAAATAATAATATATGAAACGCAACGATTTTCTGATTGCTAAAAATAGTAGGAGTAAAATACATACAGCAAGAATAATATTTATAGTCATTTAATACTAATGGAGACAGTTTTAGTGATATTGATTATTGTAGGAGTAAAGTACATATAGCATAAACATTAAATCTCATCATTGAACAATAATGGGTATAAACAATACTTATTTTACACGCCCGCCAGTAATCAAAGGTCCCAAATAATACCAACTCAAGATTATACAACTGCTCAGATGTTACGACAGAATGGAGGTATAAGTGTTAAGTTTTGGTGGTGTGATGGTCAGCATAGTTGCCTTTCGAGTAGTTGATCCGGGTTAGATTCCCGGCCGACGCAGTTGTTCCATATCACTAACAAATATGTAGTTCATTAACAAAATAACGGATTATTATTATACTTAAAAATAACGGATTATTATTATACTGAATTAATAACATATATCTGTAAGTTTTTTTTACATTATGTCAATATCAGATATAATATTTAATAAAGAATGCAAACAAATGTTTTTTGAGGTTGTGGTCTCTTTGGCGCAGTGGATAGCGCGTTAGACTTATAATCCAAAGTCGTGGGTTCGATACCCACAAGGAATGTTTGGTGAAACTATATTGTTTGATGACCATATATTATATAGTCCAGTTTGGCAATTGATGATTAATTTTAATAAAAATTACAATAAACTTTAGCCGTTTATGCGTTGGAATTTTGACCTAAATTTTTTGGGTTGAATTTCAACGGAAATATCACATAATTTCAAGAAATTATTTGTGATGTCTTGGCAATTTGCTGTCTACATACAAAAACTCGCAATAAACTTCATCAGTTAGTTTATTACCACTGGCGCAGTGGATAGTGCAACTAAGCTTTATATGACAATTGATAATTTCAACTTTTGATACCAGCCTTAAGAACCCTTAATACTCGCTGCGTTGTACTGCACATGTAAGGATATAATCTCTTCATACCGCCCAGTCTGTTAGCTGGGATACTGTAACTGGTTAGCTTTTTGAAGATCGGCACGATACTTGAAGAGAAGAGATTTATACTTACTGTGAGCTGGAAGTATACGACCCGGAAGTGCAAGAGTGTAGTGAAATTTAAAAGTTATTAGAAGCTAGTTTATTTGAAGAATATTTCTTAAGTATTATTACAAGAAGATAAAGAAAATCTATAGTCAGGTGGGTGTCCCCAACACAGAGTTTTCCTAGGCATAAGCCTAGGAATCTATCAAAAGCTTGAAATCAAAAGTAACAAACAAACAATGGTACGAAGTAATAAGAATAAAAAGAAAACAGGTACCAGTCACTTACTGACCGAAGTGATATGGATACCGACCTCGAACTAGAAGAATTTACAAAGGTTAAGTCAAGAAAGCGTGCCAAAAGCAAGAAACAATGGAAATCATACAAGGAATAATGACACGAAACCTATAGAAGTAAAGGTACCACCGATAATAGTAAAACATAACTTAGACCTCAGGGCCATAAACTACATCCGAGATGTTACGAAAGTTAATTTTACCATACAATATATTAAAACGCATACCCATAAAATATATACTAAGACACTAGTAGATCATAAAAAGATAAAGAGTACATTATAGATTGCAGTTACCAGTTTTTATACGTATTCCACTGAGAAACAACAAACAAAATCACACTAACAGGCTTACATCTAGCAATTACAGAAGTAGAGGTGTTTGAATTACTGAGTGTACGACGTTTTTTGTGCAAAGGGTCATACATTAA